AACTCTGGGCCTGGGCACTGTCCCTCAGCTCTTTAGCTCAAGGCTAGTGCTCTACCACTTGAGCCACAGCATCACTTCTGGTTTTCTGGTGGTTCATTGGAGATAAGAGTCTCATGGACTTTCCTGGCCAGCCTGGATTTGGACTATGATCCTCAGATCTCAGCCTCCTGAGTAGCTAGGATGACAGGCGTGAGCCACTGGCACCTGGCTACATATTTTCTTTCTTTCTACATTTTATTATTTCAAACCATGTGAACAATTCCATAAAACATGTGAAAAAAGCAAGGAAGTGTTCAATGCTGAAGGACCTAGGCCTGGGGCCAGGGCTTGGGGGGCCTAGCCCCTCTGCAGGCAGCGGTGGTTCCTAGGTTAGCGCTAAGGAGCTACATTTAGGTTAATGGAGCCTGGGCCCAGGGCCACAGGACAGGGGCCTCAGTGACATTGGCAGTTATCTGGAACAGCCCTGGGAACCCAGACCCATGGAGGGCAGGGCAGGGGCCACCTGCACAGGCGGGCGGCCAGCAGAACAATGGGTGTGAACACGCAGACACCTCAAGGCATGGAATCACTGGCCGGCTACATATTTTCTTATAGTAGATTTACAGTTTCAGGTCTTACTTTGAGCTCTTTGATCCAACTGGAGTTGATTTTTGTACAGGATAGAGATTTTTTTTTAATTAGAAATACAGGTCCAGCTTTGGTCTCCTGTACATAAATTCCCAGTTTTCCCAGAATCACTTGTTGAAAGGCTTTTACTTCGTTGAAAACTAATTGGCTGTAGGTGTGTGGTTTTATTTCTGGATCTTCTATGCTGTTCTATTGACCTTTGGGTCTGTTTTGCTGCCGGTACCATGGTGTTTTTGTTACTATGGTTCTATAGTATAATTGGTTTTCTTTTTTTTTTAGGTTTGAGACCAGGACTCGACCTCAGTACCTGCCACTTTTGCTGGCTAGTGCTCTCCTAACTGAGCCATGCCTCTAACTCCTAACTTTTTTTTTTGCCAATCCTGCGGCTTGATCTCAGGGCCTGGGCACTGTCTCTGAGCTGCTTTTGCTCAAGGCCAGCACTCTACCACTTGAGCCACAGATCTATTTTCACCTTTTTCTGTGTATGTGGTACTGAGGAATGGAATCCAGGGCTTCATGCATGCTAGGTAAGCACTCTACCACTAAGCCACATTCCCAGCCTTCCTAACTTGTTTTGTTTTGTTTTGGCCAGTCCTGGGGTTTGACCTCTGGGCCTGGGCACTGTCCCTGAGCTTTTTGCTCAAGCCTAGTACTCTACCACTTGAGCCACAACTCTTCTTTCTCCCCCTACTCCCCCTTTTTTAGTGACTAATTGGAGAGAAGATTTTCACAGACTTTCCTGCTGGCTTTGAACTGCGATCCTCAGATCCCAGCCTCCTGAGTAGCTAGGTGTGAGCCACCAGAGCCCAGCTCTGTAATATTACTTGAAGTCTGGTATTGTGATAGCTCCGGCCGTGCTCTTATTACTTAGAATTGCTTTTCTAATTCTGGGTATTTTCTCCCTCTGTATGATTTTTTTTCATTGATTTCTATAATTCTGTGAGGAATTATAATGGGATTTCAATGGGCATGGTATTGTATATTGTTTTTGGCAGTATGATAATTTTTACAATATTTTGACAGTCCACAAGCATGAGATGCTTTCCATCTTCTGATGTCTTCTTTAGTTTGGTTTTTAAGGTCTTATAGAAGTCTTTCACTTCCTAGTTTGATACCTAACATGAGGTTATTTTGGAGGCAATTATGAATGGAATTATTTTCCTGATGTCTTTCTCAGCCATCCTCTCTCTTCATTTAGGAAGGGGATTTCTCATGATTATTTTTTCCCTTGAGAGTTAGACTATGCTGGCTTCATTGTAGATCATACAATTCTGTATTATGCTTAGATAATTTGAGTGTTATGCTATGAAACTTGAGTCTTGTTTCAGTCTCATGGCTAGCATTGCTATTATAGGAAGAGCTAGACCTGGCTGGTCAGGCTGATTTTTTTTTTTTCTGGTACTGGGGCTTGAACTCAGGACCTCATATTCTCCTTTGGCTTTTTAGCTCATGGATGATGCTCTACCACTTGAGCCATACATTTACTTCTAACTTTTTGTTGGCGAATTGGAGATAAGAATCTTGCAGGTTTGTCTGCTCAGGCTGTCTCTGAAGCTCAGTCCTCAGATCCCAGCCAGTGGTGCCTGAGTGTTGTTTTTGTTTTGTTTTGTCTTGTTGAGACAGGGTCTTATTTTTGCCTGGTTAGCCTGGAACTTGTGATTCTACTATCTAAACCTCCCTCGCACTGGGATTACAGGCACGCACCACCACACACAGCTGGCTGAGCACTTTGAACCCCTCCTGTGTGGTGCTCAGTTCAGTTTTCAGGGCCTCTGCAGTTCTTCTGGCTGTAGCCTGTGGGGACACCGTCGGGGGTCTGCCTGTGGGGTCTGTCTGAGGGGTGAGTGTGGTCTGCCCTCTCTGTTCTCGAAGCCTTTGGTTGCCATGCAGGGTTAAGACCACAGGTAGATTGTCCCAGGATGGTCCGTGTGCTCCCATGCAGCCGTGTGCACACTTTGCTCCTATCCACAGTGCTTTTTCTTGCCCTGTGGTTGTTACATATGTGTCAGCATCTTGTGACTGAATCTTCCCTGGGCCAGGATGGGATGGGAGTGAGGGTGTGTGGACCTACGCCAGAGTTCCACCTGGAGTCAGGAGGGAAGCCTCTTCTCCTGACTTGGGTGCCGTGGCAGAGCTGGAACAAAGGCAGGACCAGCAGGGAAAAAAGGGGTAATAACTAGCTGGGCACCGTTATCCTAGACACTCAGGAGGCTGAGAGCTGAGGATTGTGGTTCAAAGCCAGCCCAGGCAGGAAAGTCCATGAGACTCATCTCCACAATAAACCACCAGAAAACCAGAGGTGGTGCTGTGGCTCAAGAGGTAGAGCCCTCGCCTTGAGCTGAAGAGCTCAGGGACAGCGCCCAGGCCCAGAGTTCAAGCCTCATGACTGAGCCAAAAAAAAAGGTAATGATTAAAAATGGGCACCAGGCACCAGTGGCTCACGCCTATAATACTAGCAGCTCAAGAGGCTGAAATCCGAGGATCACGGTTTGAAGCCCAGCCTGGGCAGAAAAGTCTGTGAGACTCTTGTTTGCAATAAACTACTTAGAAAAAGCCAGAAGTGGCACTGTGACCCAAGTGGTAGAGTGCTAGCCTTGAGTAAATGAAGCTCAGGGACAGCGCCAGGCCCAGAGTTCAAGCCCCAGGACCAGCAAAGAGAATAAGCATTGTCTAATGTGCACAAAGACCTGTGTTCAATCCCTAGTCCAGAAAACAAACCAGACCAAGGCATTTGTCTCTTTCTGTCCTGAGTTAATTTCCTTTCTTTTCCCCAGGCCACAGAAAGGACATCCTGGGTGTTTTCTCTTTTTGCTGATCCTGGGGATTAAACTGAGAGCCTAGGTGCTGTCCCTGAGCTTTTGTGTTCAAGTCTAGTGCTCTTGAGCTACAGCTCTTTCTCTGGCTTATTTGGTTTAATTGGAGATAAGAATCTTATGGGCTTTCTTGCTTTGGCTGGCTTCAAACCGCAATCCTCAGATCTTAGTCTCCTGAATAACTAGGATTACAGGCATGAGGCACTGGCACCTGGATTCTTGGGTATTTTCTCTCTGAACCTATGCTCAGTCCTGGGCTTCAGTCTCCCCTTTGACTTTGGTCAGAAGATACAGAGGGAAAAGAAGGAAAGGTAGCAACCAGAGAGTGCTCATTTGGATAAGTCACCCTAGCATCTGATCTTCCTCTGCAGTCAAGCAGCCCTGTAACTTCTATGGGAGGGTGTGGAGACCATGGGTGGTGACTTCTGTGGGAGCGTGGGCATCCATGGCGGAGACCGTAGGTGGTCTTCTGTGGGAGCGTGCGGAAACCGTGGATGGTGACTTCTGTGGGAGCGTGGGCATCCATGGCGGAGACCGTGGGTGGTGACTTCTGTGGGAGCGTGGGCATCCACGGCGGAGACCGTGGGTGGTCTTCTGTGGGAGCGTGCGGAGACCGTGGGTGGTGACTTCTGTGGGAGTGTGGACATCCACAGTGGAATCCGTGGGTGGTTTCATCTGTGGGAGCATGGGCATCCATGGCAGAGACCATGGGTGGTCTTCTGTGGGAGCGTGGACATCTACGGCAGAGACCGTGGGTGGTCTTCTGTGGGAGCATGCGGAGACTGTGGGTGGTGACTTCTGTGGGAGCATGGGCATCCACGGTGGAGTCCATGGGTGGTCTTCTGTGGGACTGTGGGCATCCACAGCGGAGTCCATGGGTGGTCTTCTGTGGGAGCATGGGCATCCACAGCAGAGTCCGTGGGTGGTGACTTCTGTGGGAGCGTGGGCATCCATGGTGGAAACCTTGGGTAATGACTTCTGTGGGAGTGTGGGCATCCACAGTAGAGTCCGTGGGTGGTAACTTCGTGGGAATGTGGGCATCCACGGCGGAGTCCCTGGGTGGTGCTGCACTACTGCAGACAAGCCAATCTGGAGTAGCTCCTGTTTTGCTTCTTGTCAGGGAGCAGTGGGAAGGGACTTGGAGGGCTGGAGGATTGTTGCTGTTACTGAGAGAAGCCATCTGTAGAGTGCCATGTGAGCAAATTCTTCTCGTTTGCTTTTTTTTTTTTGAGGTTGGGCGCTGTCCCTCAGCTGTTCAGCTCAAGAAGAGAGTTCTACCACTTGAGCCATAGCACCACTTCTGGCTTTCTGGTGGTTAATTAGAGAGAAGAGTCTCATGTACTTTCCTGACCAGGCTGGCTTTGAACCGCAATCCTCAGATAGCCTCCTGAGTATCTAGGATTAGAGGTGTTGAGCTACCAGCACCCGGCTTTTCATTTGTTTTGTGCTAGAAATTGACACCTGTGACTTGCATGTGCTAGGCATGTGGTCTGCCACTAAGCTGGGTGCTCTGTGGAACAGTTAAGTGGACCATGCTGTAACTCTGCCTTGTCTCCCCAGGACTTGGGACCCTGGAGGGGTGTCACTGCTAATCCTGGGCATCCTATTCCACGAAGCCATGGCCACCCCTGATGTGAGTGTCCACATGGAGGAGGTGGTGGTTGTGACAACTCCAGACACCGCGGTGGACGGCAGTGGTGTGGAGGAGGTGAAGACAGTGCTGGTAACAACAAACCTGGCTGCTCACGGGTAAGACTGACCATCAGTCCTGGTGTGGGCTAGGTCGGGTTATTTTGGCATAGCTGATGTGCCAAGTGTAGGGGCAAGCTCCAGCATTTCTTTACCTGTGAGATTCTCAGACTAAACCCAGTATATTTAAAGCACCAGGGTAAAGAGTAAATGGTATCTCATAAGAGGATCAGTGCCGACTATGGAGTGATGCCTCAGCTGCTCAGCATGGCTGCTTGGTTTCCCTTTTGATAACTAGAATAGTAGGGGTGATTTCATTTTTATGAGTCCGTGTTCAAGAAATGAACTTGAAGGTCTGGGGATGGTATGTATGGTTCAAGTGGTAGAGTGTTTGCCTAGTAAGTGTAAGAAGAGAAGAGAGAGAGAGAGAGAAGGAAGGAAGAAAGAAAGAAAGACAGACAGACTTTGGCCAGGCACCAGTGGCTCAGACCTGTAATCCTAGATACTCAGGAGGCTGAGATCTGAGGATCAAGGTTCAAAGCCAGCCCGGGTAGGAAAGTCTGTGAGACTCTTATCTCCAATTAACCACTAGAAAATGGGAAGTGGCACCGTGGCTCAGGTGGTAAAACACTTGCCTTGAGCTGAAGAGCTGAGGGGCAGCGCCCAGGCCCAGAGTTCAAGCACGACTGACCAAAAAAACAAAAACCACCACCAACAACAAAAAAAACCCAAAAACAAAACAGAAAGAAAGACTTTGTCTTTTTGTCATTTATCTGGAGGGACAAAGGGTGAACAAATGGAGCTGAGGTACTCACTAGACAGACTGTTGAAAATGAATTACACAACTGTGGTTGGGGATGGGAGGGAAAAACTGGGAGAGAGCAAAGGAAGAGGTGACATGCCCCAAAAGAAATGTACTCATTACCTGACTTAAAAAATGGTAACCCTCTGTACATCACTTTTATAATAACAATTTTAAAAAGAACAAAAGGAAGAGAATATAAAGGAAGTTAGAAAGTTGAAAAGCCCGTGACTTTCTTGACATTCCTCATGAAATTGTGTTATCTTTTTCAGCTTTTGTCTGAAAAATTAAGTATTAGTTGCCGCAAAGCTCACACTTGACCAAATGTGTGCTTCTTTTGGCCACTTATAGGTAAGATTGCTAGGATCTGGCGTAGTGGCTCCTGAGATCCAGGTCGCAGGGCAGTCAGCAGGACAGGGGAGGGGCTGTGTTGAATCTTTGCTCTGCCTCCCAGAGGACTTGGGATTTTTTTAAACTAATGGTTTGTTTCTGGAATATTCCATTTAAAACAGCAGCTGAATGAGGGCTTTCAGCTCATATTTATTTATTTATTTATTTTGTCAGTTGTGGGGTCTGAACTCTGGCCTGGGCACTGTCCCTCAGCTCTTCAGCTCAAGGCTAGTGCTCTACCACTTGAGCCACAGCACCACTTCTGGATTTTTCAGTTTATGTGGTGCTGAGGAATCGAACCCAGGGCCTCATGCATGCAAGGCAAGCACTCTACCACTGAGCCACCTCCCCAGCCCTCATATTTATTTTTTGTGGTACTAGAGTTTCAACTTAGGGTCTTACACTTGCTGGTCAGGTTCTCTATCAGTTGAACTATCTCTCCGGCACTTTTTTTTTTTTTTTGCCAGTCCTGGGCTTGAACTCAGGGCCTGGGCACTGTCCTTGAGCTTCTTTTGCTCAAGGCTAGCACTCTACCACTTAAGCCACAGTGCCACCTCCAGTACATGAAGCCCTGGGCTCGACTCCTCAGTAGCACATATACAGAAAAATCCAGAATACTCAAAGTAGTAGAGCACTAGTCTCAAGCAAAAAGAGCTCATGACAGCACCCAGGCCCTGAGTTTAAACCCCAAGACTGACCAAACAAAACAAAAAAAGACAACATGTGGGCCTCTCCCTTGTCAGGGTAGGGTCCTAAGGGTTCTTGGGTCCCTTCACTATGAAGGCTGAGAAGAGACCCACACAACACCCGGGTTTGGTTTTCTCTACTTCCATTTTTCACTTTGAGAGTGATCACTGGAGGTGTGAAGTAGTTTGTTTCTTCTGTACACCCTTTATGTTTGGCGTTCAAGAGCATAATCATCTGATTTCACAAAAACCTGTTGATGGGGCTGGGAAGGTGGCTCAGTGGTAGAGCGCTTGCCTTGCATGCATGAGGCCCTGGGTTCGATTCCTCAGCACCACATAAGCAAAAAGAAAAAAGCCAGAAGTGGTGCTGTGGCTCAAGTGGTAGAGCGCTAGCCTTGAGCTGAAGAGCTGAGGGATAGCACCCAGGCCCAGAGGTCAGGCCCCACAACTGGACCCAAAAACAAAACCTGTTGATGCCTTCTGCATTCTGCCTGAGATATTCTTTACACATATAAGATGTGTTTTCTGCCTTCTAAATTCCTCTAACCTTTGGCCTTATGGCCATAGCCATCTTTTGTTCATCCTAGCCTCTGCTGACTACTCCTTGCCACTCTAAGTACCCACCCCAGCACCGTGTCTGCCACTGTTGCTATGTGACAAACACCACAGACTCAGTGGTGAGAAGCAGCCTGTGCTTGTTGATAAATTGGCCTAGGCCTGGCTGCTGGGCCTGGCTCTCACGTTATACTTGGGGCACTGGCCTGCATGAGGCTCCCATTTACCAGAACCCTGCCTGGGGTGTCCTCATGGTGAACGGGTCCAGCAGCAGGTGTGGGAGCTGCAGGGTTTTCCTGTCCTTCGGTCAAAAGTGGCCAGAGGTTGCCAGTCACATGGAGAGTAGGAAATGCTCACCACTTGCCAGGAAGAGCCGTGAAGGATCAGAGGAGACTTCAGTGCCAGGTGCTTGGAGCTCTGCTCTATCATGGCTTGTTCCTTCAAGAGCAGGAAGGAGGGCTGGGAAGGTGGCTCAGTGGTAGAGTGCTTGGGTTCCATTCCTCAGCACCACATAAGCAGAAAAGCCCAGAGGTGGCACTGTGGCTGAAGTGGTAAAGCGCTACCCTTGAGCTGAAGAGCTGAGGAACAGTGCCCAGGCCCAGAGTTCAGGCCCCACGACCAACAACAACAACAACAAAAAAGCAGGAGGGACGGTGTATGCTTCTTTAAGGCTCTGAGGCAGGCCTCCTTTTTGTACTATTGGGGTTTGAACCCAGTGCCATGAGCATGCTAGGTGAGCACTCTTAACACTTAAGCCATGTTCTTTGCCTGCTTTAGTTTCCCCCTCACTACCCTTCCGATAAATAGTACCTCATGATTTTTTCTAGTGCCAGCCCTGGACCATAATCCTCTGAGATAGGTCTGTCTTGAAAGATGGAAGGGTTGGTTTTTGTTTTTGTTTTTTCAGTGAAGAGCTGTTTCTACTCTCCTTCCAACTGAAGTCAAGATTTGACTCAAGACATTATCTGTCTGTCTGTCTGTCTGTCTCTCTCTCTCTCTCTATCTCTGTCATCCTTCATATACCTTGATCGCTCTGCCTACCTATCTAGATTTATATATGCACTAGTTTGTGGGAGCTGATTTCTTCCTGGTGAACATTTGAAGGAAACTTGGAATGTTCTTTTTTTTTTTGTCGGTCGTGGGGCTTGAACTCTGGGCTTGGGCGCTGTCCCTGCGCTCTTCAGTTCAAGGCAAGTGCTCTACCGCTTGAGCCACAGCACCATTTCCGGTTTTCTAGTGGAGTTTCCTGCCCAGGCTGGCTTTGAACCTCGATCCTCAGATCTCAGCCTCCTGAGCAGCTAGGATGACAGGCGTGAGCCACCGGCGCCCGGCTGGAATGTTCTTTATGTATGAAGCCTGGCAAGGCTGTTTCTGCCCACTGTGGTGCCATGTGAGTGCCACTTGCTGCAGAGAACAAAATGCCTCACCTTTAAGTAAAGTAGACCCTTTCCATTGAGCTGTAAGCTGTAGTCCTACCCTGGGGACACCGGTCAGCCCTGTGGGTGCACCTCTGCCCTGTTGCACACAGCGCCTTGGTCTCCTCAGCCGTTGTCATCTAAGACTGGCCGTATATTTGCTTGTGGCCTGGCTTGTGTTTCTCTTTTGACCCCTAACAGCCTGCAGAGACTTCCTGTCTCCCCCTCCCACTCCTGACTTATTTCCTCCAAGGAAATAAGTTGTTTTCCATGCAGGACACATGTTTCAGTTCTGTCATTGTTCTTTGCATGGTACACAGCTGTGGCTCGGTGGGGACAGGGAGGAGCTTCCTTTCTGAGTTCCCAAAGCCCCCTGGGCCCTTACACTGGCCTTGCAGTAACTCTTAGTGTGTCCCAAAGGCCAGAGTCCACGTTTGTATGTCTAATCAACTCCAATTTCCTCCTTTCCTTTCCTTCCTTCCTTCCTTTCTTTTTTCTTTCTTTCTTCCTTCCTTCCTTCCTTTTTTCTTTCTCTCTCTCCCTATTTCTAATCAACTCCAATTTCCTCCTTTCCTTTCCTTCCTTCCTTCCTTCCCTCCCTCCCTTCTTTCCCTCTCTCCCTTCCTTCCTCCCTTCCTTCCTTCCTTCCTTCCTTCCTTCCTTCTTTCCTTTTTCCTTCCTTCCTTCTCTCCCTCCCTCCCTCCCTCCCTCCCTTCCTTCCTTCCTTCCTTCCTTCCTTTTTCCTTCCTTCCTTTCTTGTCAGTCGTTGGGCTTGAACTCTCGGCTTAGGTGCTGTCCCTGAGCTCTTCAGCTCAAGATGAGCACTCTTATCACTTGAGCTACAGCGCCACTTCTGGTTTTCTGGTGGTTAATTGGAGATAAGAGTCTCACAAACTTTCCTGCCTGGACTGGCTTTGAACCATGATCCTCAGATCTCAGCCTCCTGAGGTGGCTGGGATGACAGATGTGAGCCACCGGCGCCCGACTAACTCCAATTTCTGACCTGACTTGAGGTAAAACCTTGAGGCAGGGAGAGTGATGAGCGGATGGGATGGCACCATCAGCTGCTCAGAGAAGAGATCAGGAATGCCCACTGCTCATGTCCTCTAAGATGCTAGCCGCTGTCTTAGGGTGGCTCTGACCTGAGGCCCGCCCACTGCGGATGTGTGGGGCTCACTGTGGCACTGAAGTAGTCTAGACGGTCTGGAGAAC